CTATCTATCTATCTATCTATCTATCTATCTATCTATCTATCTATCTATCTATCTATCTATCTACCTACCTACCTACCTACCTACCATCTATCTCCCCCCCCAACTGAACCCAACATGAGCTTAATAATTGCTGAAATGTGTTTAAGTCATTTCTTGGTTAAAACCTCTCCATTCAAACAAACCTCTTACGAAACGCAAACTTTACGCAATGCGTCTGGGCTGCAGAGAGAAGGAATGGAGAGGCGCGGAGAGGTAAAAAGTGGCACAGAAACTGGCTCAGAAGGTCCACCTTACCTGATCCATCATGCCACCTTTCTTGATCAGACGGATCCTGGCTAATATGTTGATCTGGAGGGTGTATCTTATGTGTGGAATCAGGAGCTGTAGAGAGAAAGGAAGAGGAGGAGAAGGAGAAGCGATGAAGGCCTTCAGCCCTTGAGTTGGAGAAGGTTCTTGGAGGTCAAGGGAGAGGCTGATGATCCAGCGCTTCTAACAGGGGCCAACAGGGTGGCTGTCACAACCTGTGGCCAACCCCACCAAATGCAGAGAGCAGGTGATAGATCTGGACCTGTCAGGGGAACAGGAAACCTGGATCTGCCCCTTCCAGAAGTAGATGGGAGAAGACCTGAAGGGGACCACTTCCTGAGGGTCAAAATGAAGGAACATGCTTGGTGGGACGTGACTGTCTCCAGGACAGAATAACAGAACAGCAGAGTTAGAAGAGACTTTGGAAGTCTTCTAGTCCAACCTTCCTGCTCAAGTGGAAGACCCTGACTCAGGGGTCGGCAACCTGCGGCTCCGGAGCTGCATGTGGCTCTTTTCATCCCTCTGCTGCGGCTCCCTGTGGGCTCAAAATATGTGTCACAACCGCCAACGTGTGACATCCCTGCCGGCACGCAATTTATTGAGCTTTTCGACCCCTGGTAGGTTTTGTGGCTCCCAGTGTTTTCTGTGGGGGGGAAACGGGTCCAAATGGCTCTTTGAGGGCTTAAGGTTGCGGACCCCCTGCCCTAGCCCCAATAAACCATCATCCTCTTCTACCATCTCTTAGTAAACAGCAGCTTAATCAGATAAGGACAACCAGGAAGTAAACAACATTCCCACCTATAGGGGGAGCCAGCCGTATAGAAACAGAGAGCAAAAGCTATTCCTTTCTAGCACTGCTGATGTTCCCTAGTTGGGTCATGAAATGTCTTCAAGAAAACAGCCAAACTCACAATCCCACAATCTTCCTCCTCCTCCTCCTGCTCCTCCCCACTCTACAAAGCCTTCTCCCTTCTAGCACTGATGATGTTCCCTGGTTGGGTCATGAAACGTCTGCAAGAAAGCCACCCAGCTCAGAGACCCCACAGTTCAACCTTGAGCTATAAATATTCTCTTCCACTAGAGACACACAACAGTCACGTTGCGATGCCTACAGGAAAGCCACGGGGCGGGGGATAGTTTGACAATGATTGCCTAACTCATTTCAGACAAATGGTTGTCCAATCTCTTCTTTAAAATCTCCACACTGTTGGGAGCACCCACAGCTTCTGCAGGCAAGTTTAATTGTCAGGGAAGGACATAGGACAATTTAGTAGAATGGGGACTATTTCCTTTTCCTCGAAGTCCATCTCCACCAAAAGAAGACCACCACCACCACCACCACCCCCAGAGTTCACTTCAATTTTAGACGGATGTAGGACCTGGGATAGGCAGATGTGGGGCTTTGATGTGATCAAAGGCCTTGTCGTGGGATGTCAGCCTTTCTGAATCAAACTGCCTTCTGCAATTGACTGACAGGGATTTTGCCAATACCTTCTCAATCAAGCTGCCTTCTGCAATTGACCAAGAGTGTGTCAATGTCATTCCAAGCAAAGCTGCCTTTTGCAATTGATTGACAGGGATTTTTGTCAATGCCATTCAAATTAAGCTGCCTTTTACCATTGATGGACAGGAGTTGTGTCAATGCCATTCAGGTCAAACTACCTTTTGCAATTGACTGGTGGGGATTTTGCCGATACCTTCTCAATCAAGCTGCCTTCTGCAATTGACCAAGAGTCTGTCAATGTCATTCCAAGCAAAGCTGCCTTTTGCAATTGACTGTCAGGGATTTTGCCAATGCCATTCAGGTCAAACTACCTTTTGCAATTGACTGTCAGGGATTTTTGTCGATGCCATTCAAGTCAAGCTGCCTTTTACCATTGATGGACAGGAGTTGTGTCAATGCCATTCAAGTCAAGCTGCCTTTTGCAATTGACTGATGGGGTCATCAATGCTTTCCAGGTCAAGCTGCTTTTTCCAATCGACCGGTAGGGATTCTGTCAATGTCATTCTGAGCAAAGACCCTTTTGCAGTTGACTTAAGGTTTTGTCAATACTATTCCAAGTCAAGTTGCCTTTTGCAATTGACCGATGGGGTTTTTGTCAGTGCCAATGGCATTCAAGAGGTGCTCCAGATATTTTAGGACTGCACCTAAGGCGGCGCCTATCACTCTTGGGTTTAGTTTTCCTTCCTTTTGCTATGGTTATTATTATTATTTGGGTCATTATCGGAACAGGGTATCCCTCATTATTTCATATAAAGTTGTGTACTAAGCTTAGTTGTATTTGTGTTTGGGGCCCACGGGTGGCTGACGGAGCTGGCAGCAGAGTCGGACAGGAGTGAGGAGGTTGGGGAGGAACGCCGGGCCAGTCCTGGAGGAGAAGGAGGGCTCGGACAAGGCTCTGCATCGGAGGCAGAGATGGGGCCAGGGCAGGCTGGCACTCTTCAGCTGCCTTTGGGTTCGGACAGCAGTGAGGCGTGGGAGCTTCTGGAACCGGTTCCCAGCCTGTGTGTGCATGAACAGGGCTACCAGAAGACAAGAACAATTGAGAAAGCAGGATCTTTTATTGGGGTACGTTTTGGCCACTCTCATTGGTAAAACATCTTGTCCATATTTTCTTTATAAGCTGCCAATCTTGTTAATGTGTAATATTTCTTCCATATTTTTCCCAATCTTCTAAGTCTATATATTATGTCCAATATTTTTTGCCCTTGCTATCATACAACCTTTTACGACCTCCTCTTCCAAAGCAAATTCAGTAAATAATTATACATCCTTGTTATGCATTTCTCCTCAGAGCCTACTAAAATCTTGTCTAGTTGTAGTAACTCCGTATTAATTCCATATTCTTTTACAACTTTTTTGTATCTGGTTTGCAGCTGAAGACATGGCCACCAATCTATGATTATGCCTTGATGTTTTAATTCCTGATTTGTTTTTAATTTTACCCTGATTATCCAATATCTCTTTGTACCCCAATATGAATCCAAGATGCTGGAAATGCAATCAAGATCAAGGTACCTTCTATCACATGTGGTGGTTATGTCCGGAACCCCGTAAGTATTAGACCAAAATATGGAGATGGATACAAGACATAGTGGAAGACCAGATAGAGTTTAAACTGGAGTTGTTCTTGTTAGGAATAATAAAAGGGAATCATACTAAAAAGATTAAATAAATACTACTACATATATTGACAGCAGCAAAGATAGCCTTCACGCAATGTTGGAAACAAAATAATACGCTATTTGGAGGAATTAGTAATTTAAAAAATCTTAGATTGTGCTGAAATGGACAAACTTATGTTAAAACTAAAGGATAAAGAACAGTATCATGAAATTTGGGACAGTTGATACAATTGATTGAATAATAGAGATAAGGAAAATGTAGAATAATATCCACCATCCTAAGAAACCCTAAAGACAAAATCGAGTTAGAAAACCAAGGAGTATACGAAATCCCTTGCACCGCCGGCTCCACCACATACATCGGACAAACCAAGAGAAGAATAAGTGCACGCATTGAAGAACACAAGAACTCAATCAAAAAAGAAGAACCGACCTCTTCCCTGGTCCAACACCTCAAAGCCACAGGACATGAGATTGACTTTAAAAATACCAAAACTATCGCCAAAACCGAACACTTCAACAACAGAATAATCAGAGAAGCCATAGAGATAGAAAAACGCCCACACAGCATGAATAAACGAGATGATACCTCCCGTCTACCAGCCATCTGGAAACCCGCCCTCATTAACAAACAAGTACCGAACATGAAGAATGACACCAGACCCACACCCACGAGGGCCACACAAGATGCTACCACCACACCTCCACGTAGAAAGCAGACTCACACCCACACAGAAGATGAGACACGACCACGGACCAGAAGCCATACTGCAGCTGCATCACTACCCGCTTCAAACCGCTCCGACCCATACATGAAGCAAACGGATGGCCACCATGAAGATGTGGCACGACCATGAACGCGAAGCCAAACAACAGGATCACAGCTCACCAGTTCAAATCCCCCGGCAACTAAGACTAACCTGAGCACAACCAAGCCCCCACCTGAACAGAACACACCCCCAGCCAATCAGAACACAGCCAACCTCCCAACCAATCAGAACACAGCCAAGCCCCCACCCAATCAAGTCACACCCCCACTAACAGTTAAAAGGAAGAAGCAGCTGCAAGCTCACATTACTCAGAGAAGCACAAAGCTGAAGACACAAGCCTGAAGATGATGAATGAGACTTCATTGAAATGTTGCCTAGATACTTCCAATTTTACGTGGGAGAAAACCTGAATAACCAAAGATCTATATATCTATATATTCGAGATTAGTATATGAAATAATGATATCACTGTACTGTTAATGTTAAGATTAAGTTTTGTAAAATTTGAAAAAGAACTATAAAAACATTTAAAAAAAGAGAAAGCAGAGTCGACTCAGGAGTAAGGCCACACCTTGGAGATGATTGGCCTCTCCCATAGGACATAAAAGAGGAGAGAACGGGACGTGAGCTTTTGCAGGAAGCAATTAGTTTTGTCTGGTTGGTTCAAGCTTTGAAAAGTTCTGTTTGACTCTGTGTCAGGTTTGGCCTTGCCCTGCGTTTGGCAATTCGTTCTCTGGCTGCATTCCAAGTGCAATAAGTTGGATGTTTATAAACATTCCCCTGAAAGACTGTTTTAAACCCTTGCAGGTTGTGAATGAATGTAATTCACAGCCATGGGGAATAAAAGAGGTTTTGCCAGGACTAAGACGGGTTTTTTATGCTTTCTAAGGAAGCCTTGGTCAGAACAATTTGTTTCATCCCAAACCTCGCATTATGGGGAAACTGGACGAATCCGGTGACAATATTCCTGCATCCCAACTCATGGGAACACACACACGCACACAGCGATCTGTCTCTCTCTTGTGCCATACCTTGAACACTGGATGGCACATGGGGAGGTGCCGTAGAGTGGCCATGGTGAAGATCTCAGCCATCAGGTGGGTCTTCAGGAGGTGGGAAATGTTCTGGTGGATGTGGAAATCGGCATTGCGCACCCACATCTTAGCTAGGGTCCAATCCCAGTGTGGGTCGCTGGGAAGGAAAATGGGACTGTCGGCACCCGGGATTTGGCTGAGCTGAGAGAAGGAAGAAAACAAAGCGAAGAAAAAGGGACGAATGAGCAAGGAGATTGAAAAACCACATATCTTCACCCTCTGTGTCATTAATTGCTTTACCAGAGAACTACTTATAGAACAGTGGACAGGAATGGCGCGGTGGACTAGAGGTGGGAGCTCTCGCCTCACAATCAGGAGGCTGTGAGTTCGATCCCAGGTAGAGGCAGGTGCTTATCTCTCTGGGCACAATGAGAATATACCTGCTGATCAAAAAAAAAACTCTGCACTGGCAACAGGAAGGGCATCCGGCCATTAAAACACTCTGCTAATTCCATTCACTTGCCCAGACTACACCCCACAAGGGATTATTGGATTGTTAAATGATGATGATTTATAGAACAGTGGGCAGTTATAGGTAGTCCTCCACTTACAACTGTTCATTTGGTGACTGTTCATAGTCACAACAGCACGGAAAGACTTACAATCAGTTTTCACAGTTGGTTTTACCTGGATTGCTATCGGTACGAGATTCCCAGAAGACCTCTGGTGGAAGAGGCACAAAGGAACAGCCAGATGCTGCTGTTCACCATTGATGACGTTGGTCGGGCTTCCTTGGAGCATCTTGTAGTCCACTATGAAGATGTTCCCCTTCTTTAAACAGAAGGAAGGAAGGAAGTTGGTGCTTTATATACAACCGTTATATACAGGCATATATGTGGTAGGCAAATTCCTGACAAGCAATCAATCTTCTTAACTCTACAGGGAGAACTCCGCAATGGAGACAGGACATAAGGAGAGAAAACACACCCTCTAATGGCTGCCTTTATACAGACAACTCTTAAAGGGGTAAATATTTCTATGGATCCATACATAGTCTTAAAAAGGCAATACCCATGCCATGCTAATTCATCCTTATTGTATCAACCTTACATTGCATCAGCCTTACAGTAACTGGTCAGCTCTTAAATTGCAATACTTTAAAAGAAGGTCAAGATGGTGGTTCAGAAAGATCGGAATGTCAAGAGGATGGCTTCAAAAAGATCAGAAGGTCAAGAGGATGGCTTCAGAAAGATCAGAAGATCAAGAGGGTGGCTTCAGAAAGACCAGAAGGTCAAGAGGAGGGCTTCAGAAAGATCAGAAGGTCAAGAGGATGGCTTCAGAAAGATCAGAAGGTCAAGAGGGTAGCTTCAGAAAATTCAGAAGGTCAAGAGGATGGCTTCAGAAAGATCAGAAGGTCAAGAGG